TTTTTTCTTGGCCCTGGTATCACAGCTTGCTTTTGAATTTTGCAAAGCCCACTGCAGTGTGTCTCATTTTTTTCTTCCTCTGGAACTAAATGTCTTTGCTTCTTTAAACACAAGTAAACTGCCTCCGACCAAAAGACACAACACAACTCTCTAAGTCCACGCTAATTGCAACTGAAATCTGTATTAGGTGAAAAGAAAAAAAATAGCAAACCACACATGGTTATTTCACTTTGACCATAATCACATACGTAAGGTGAGGTTATCGAAATATCGCCGTGTCGGCTTCAAAACAAGGAATTGTTTAGCAAGAAAACTGAAAGAAGGAAGGGGAATTATCTTCTTCATGCAAAAGCCACAGTTAGTGACAGCCACTGGTAAATTTCAAATAAAGCTTATTTGAAATTTGTTTGTTGTTGTTTTTGTCTAACCTTACCTAAAAAAGGATTTAAAAACCCTATTTTAAACTGTAGTTCCTCCTCTATTCTAGGATGATGGCCAAACTCCACAAAATAAAACCAAAGAAAATGATGATAATTATGCAACATTCAGGACAAAGAACATAGAATATATTTTTTAAATGATTCATTGTGCATTTATGCCCGTAATGGGATTTTAACGCATTGTAAAAATAAGTGTGCTGGCTCACTCGTCTTCTCACGCAAACGGAACGCAGGGAGATGAATAACTCGGAGATGGGTGATTTTTTTCCCCTCCAGAAGTGTAAAGCCAAACCACATACAGAAATTTACATAGACAAAGCCACACAGCCTACTGCTCCTCTTACAACCAAGAAGGTCCCAAGACCTCAGCCAGCACGGTATCTGACAGGTAAGCCACAGGACTGACAAAGCCTACGTCAAGTCTCGATCTCACGTGATGGTTCCCTTCCCATTTTGCTTGCCAAGTCTCTGCAGCTTCGAGAAAGGTTGGGAGGCAGTAAGGGAAGAGAAATTCTAGCCGCACAAGATTCTCAGGGTATCCTTGGGAATTATATTTCTGCTACATGTCTATAAAAGATTTGTCGGATACATAACTCTTAGGACTGTAGACGCAACATGTTCCTATCTCATTTGTATACCCACACACATACTTGTTTCTCTTTGTCTCCGTGAGCCCGACATTTGGCCAGCAGGTTTTTCTCCCCCTTATTTGAAACCTCAAGCACTGAGAAAATTTGGATCTGATTATTTCCGGATCACAGGACCAGCACTTTAAAATGGATGAAATGCAAGCAAATTGCCTACCAGAGCCGGAGGGGGGAAATGCTTTAAAAATAACTCATACCTTTCTATTATGGATGGCCAGCGCCCCAAGCCTCCCTGGAGCAACGCAGAGGTTTCCTGCTTAGGTGATGATGAAACTCCAGGTAACACCACCAAAACCATCGCATCTTGCTCCCCAATACCACCAGCCCTTGACACCCACACACACACCCCACAGCTGCTTTCCTTTTTTTTTCTTTTCCAAGAAAAAAAAACAGAAATAGCTGTATTTTTTTAAGGTATAGGATTGACTACTTTTTCTCATTAACAGGGATGTTATGGCGGCTGTTTTTCCTAATGACAGAGTTCACACGTGTGGTGATCATCAATCACCTTTTCTGCTGGGATGTATCCAGCCCTGGTACATGGTGAAAAGGGCCTGGAAAGTGGCTGTGAATTAGTGACCTCATTATCTGGCTTGGACAGATGGGATCATCTGGTTAGCTACAAAGTCTTCTAGACATGGCACAGAGAGATTAGTTACCAATTTCCAAAGATTCAAGACAGGAGAAATAGCAAAAATAAAAGGGATTTTTAATTCTCTGGGAACATTCTGAAGGTTTTAGTTGCAAACAGCAGCTTTCAGCTGCCTGCAAACGCAGGCGGTAGGTACAAGTGGTGGAACCAGAATCAAACATTTGGAGCTAGATGCCTCGGACACTGCCACTTACTGTAGCTTTGAGCAAATCTCTGAACCTTCATATGTTCATCTATAAAATGGAGTCACATCAGGAAGAGTCAGGATCTGGCCCCGCTTTATAGGCAGAAAGCACTTCTCCATCTGTTCCCTCAGAGAGCCCACAAGAAGGCAGAGCCAGATGAGGGAATGCATGGGAACACGCTCTAAGAACTGCGAAGCACTAGGCAGAGAACAAGCGTCATCAGCTATGGCCACAAAGCTGTCCGCCCTCGGGAAGCCCAGATGTTCACCTTCTTCCCTTGTCAGGACTTACAAAAGCAGTGTCGGGTGTTTAATAATAAGAAAGAAAAACGCAGCATCTGGTGGTTTGGCCTTCCCAGCTGTTTGGAATCTGGATAAGCAGGACTCTGCCATAAACAGATCGTGATTCTTATTGTAAAGGATGACAATGTTCGTCCATGACGCTGCACCATCCCCAGCCCAGTGCCTCCCAGTCCAGATCTGGACACACACAAGACCCACGTGTGGATGGATGAACTGCTGGATTCACGATCACACCCCTTCCCCTGTTTAAGAACTGTTCCAGGCAGAAGCCAGACCAAGTCCCTGGGCAGCGATGACCACAGAAGACCTGAAGCAAGGCACCTCTCCTCTTCCCTCCCCTGGCATCAGAATTAGTCTCCTTCACATTCAGCATTTTAAAAGGCAAATCTTCACTGTTACTGCCTCTTCTGAAAGTATCACTGTCACGGTGCGGAACCCTGCACAAATGAACAGAAGTGACCTCTTCTACTATTTTTGCTTAGAAAGCACCCATTCAACCCATTTTATTTCGCCTGTGAGGTCAACATTATTACTCTCATGCAGATGGAAAACCAGAGGTTGAAAACATTAAACACATCACATTTAGTAACCCTAAACATAACCAGGCACTAAGATGGTCCTTCCCCATTCTTTGCGCTAATGCTGGCATCAGTTGCTCCGAGTCAGTCTCAGGGCAAACCTACCATAAATAGGGGAACCCAAGCCTCAGAGGAGTAAAATTACTTCTCCCAGCATCCCACATATGGGGAGGGGGGTCTTATCGTTTCCAGCACAGCCAATAAATATGTTTCAGTCAGTATTTCTGTCTGTTTCCAATAAGTCTGAGCACTTGGAGCTCGGCACCACACTGCAAGGGTCCTGCAGCCTGGCAACTATCGTGGTGCAAGAAGGCACAGCAGGAAGGTGCCCTTTCCTTAACAGCATTTCTGAGAGGGCTGCGGAGCCTGCTGTTCTTCGGCCAGGCCGCTGACTGAAGAACATGCCCTAGGATACCCCCCCTCCCTGCACCACCCCTTATCCTGACGCCAGGTTATGCCAGAGCTCCGGCTTTGACAACAAGGCTAAACCTACTAAGTGGCCTTCTACATACCAGACACTTCTCCCACCTAAGGGCCTTAGTTTCCTCATCTTGCAAATGTGTGTCATAAATTCCACCCACCAGCCTCACTGAGAGGCTGTGGGGTCAAAACAAAAACAGTTTAGCAGCCTCCTGGAGAAAATGTAACCAGAGCCCAGCTGGAGGTACAAATAGAGGAGCTTGCCCCCACCAGTTTATCCTCCTCTCCCCTTTGCAAATGCAATCCCAACATAAAGATTTCTCATTTTAGACAGGGGGAGGGGGCAGGTATAGATACAAACAACTGGGGTTTGGAGGACGGGCAGTAGGAACATGGAACACGTGAAAGGTCCCGGACCACAGTATGGAACAAAGGCTATCTTTGGGACAACAATCTCAAAATGCTGTCTGAGATTACTACCTGTGATTTTTAAAATACCCTACAAAATAAATAAATAAATAAAATTAAATATGCAACAATGCAGTAGGATATGGGCAGAACGGAGGACTGCAGCAGGGCCTGAGCAGCAAGCCAGGGAGCACAAGGAGCAAAATGTCACTCGGGCACTTCTCAGGGAAGAGAACTTGCACGTGTATTCCTGCAACAACTGCAGACATTTTTTTTCAAATATGCTCTTTACGACTTGGGTAACAGAGTAACATTTAAAAGAAGAGAAGAAATATCTCTCTCCTACAAAGTCAGGTGTTTTCTTTTAAAAAACAAAAAACTTGTGTACATTTATCTCATTTAACCAGGCCCAGAACTGGGCAGCAAGCTGGCTGACCTTTCCTAAGGTACAGAGCTGATGCTAAGACACTATGTCTGCCTTCCTTGGAAATCACCTGGAAAGAGAATCAAGAAGTCCCAGGCGCTGAGACAATCAAACCCCAAAGCTTTGATTTCTCCCAAAGGGGGTAAAAGGGAACGCACAGACACCACACCTTAACAATTTCTCAAATTCCTGTTTCATTATCTGTCAGCACGAAACCTATAAATAATGGCTCAATAATAATTAACCAGATGAGAAGAACGCTTCCGTGAGGGTATCATGGACACCCTGCCTGGAGATTGAACCGCGCGGGGCTGCCGCCATTCCCCTGCCTCGCTGGTAGCCGAGGGCACTATGAAGTGACTTCTGCCCAAGACGATACTTCTGAAAAAACTACAGAAAAGACCGTTTTTCAGTCAAGACCTGACCCAGGCTGCATTACAGTCAGATAATTCTTCATCCGGAATCTAGAAATCATCACGTATAAAAATTCCTCCCGTGACACATGGGGAAACTGAGGTCCCAAGAGGGGTGGGGTCCTGCTAAAGGCCCCTTCTGGTTTTTGTTATTTAAGGAGATTGGAATACTTTAAAATATGCACTCGGATGCTCAGAAACTGATACTGGGCACAGGAGTTGCTACTCCCCCTAACATGCAATAAAATGTTGACGTTTCACCCGACTTTTATCAGAAACATACAGAAGCAAAATTATGTCATGTGAGCTTTCTATTCACACTTTTTCCCGAAAAACGTGTTCATCGAATTTAAATGAGATGCTTCCTAAAGAAAGCAACATCTTATATTTGACAAGCGAATCCCACACAATTACCAAGAAATCAAGGAACTCCGGAGAAACTTCCGAAGTATCCCTTCAAAGGCTTGCGCGCAGCGGAGCCAAAGGGCTCTCCACACCCGCGGCCAGGCACGTGGGCAGGGCCGGACTCACCCTTCCCGCTGCCGGTGGCGGCGGCCTTGGACGGGCCGTAGTCTCTCGGACTCCGGGGCCGCAGGAGGTCGTGGGAGCGCGGCGGTGGCACAGGCAGCCGAGGGAGCAGGTCCCGCGGGACCCCCTCCCCGCAGCCGCCGCCGCTCACAGTGACCCTGAAGGCCATGTGCGCGCCGAGGCCGGCGGGCCCGAGGCCGGGGCCGGGTGCAGCGGGGGCCTCCTTGGGCCTCTTGTCCGAAAGCGCCTCGGCCACCTCGCAGTGCATGGCGCCGGGGCGGGGCACACGGCTGGGGGTCGCGCCAGGCTCCTGGGGAGAGGAGATAGCACAGGCGCGTTAGAATGCGGGCGGTGGATCCTCTTCCCGGGGACTGCCCTGGGCTCAGCTAGCTAAGTTAGTGCACCGTACCTACCCAACCTTCAGCCACCTGGCCCCACGCGTGTGCGCACGCCTCGTTCTCAGCGCTGAGCGGCGCCGGCTCGGCTTCCGCCCCCGCGCCTTTCCGCAGAGCTCCTGAGCCTCCCGCCGGAATCCGCCTCCACCGAGCCCAGCCCTCTTTAGACGAACAGCGAAACTGAGGCCTGGGCGGGTAGGGCGCCTGTTCCGCGTCCCCTAGAGGGGCAGTATCCCCAGAGCGGGGATACTGTCGGCGGCGACAGTATCCCCAGAGCGGGGCTCTGGCGAGGCAGCCGGCGGCTAGGAGAGGGTCCCTGGCTGCGCACTCCAAGGGCGCTCCGGGCCGGACTGCGCGCACTCAAGGGTCCGGCCGCGAACCCGCAACACCGGCAACCCACAAACCCGTCCAATGGGTGCTCAGCCCCGCTGCGTGGACCCATCACGCGCACTTCGAGACACACATTCCCACGCGCGCCACGGGAAGCGCGCCGTTGCGCGCGCAATTCCTCGCGTGGGTGATGCCCTGCATGCCGGCTCCCACGCACACGCACACCCGGTAAACGCGCACTCTTGGACGCGCGTTCATTCACCCGCCCGGACATCACTCGCAAGAACCACCGCACAGTCTCACGCCCTTGCGCCCCGAGCGCTGGGGAGCCCCGCGCCAGAGCCTCGGTCTTCATCCTCTGACCCGGCGCGAAGGCCCGGAGCCCCCAAACTCTCCTTGGTCTCGGGCGCTCCCCTCGCCCGCCGAAAGCGCCCCAGATTCCGGCGCCGCTGCGCCGCGCGCCTCGGATGCGGGTCCCGGACGCACGCCCCTTCTCACCTCGCGGCGGGCGCTGCAGTCGCGGGGCGCAGGGTTCGGTGCGCCTCCTCCGGCGCCGAAGCCCCCGCAGAAGAAGCGTCCTGCGGGGCGGCACCTGGGGCGGGCCGGACCCGGCTCCAGACGGCGCTTTAGGCCCCTGGTTCGCCGCGGCCGCCGGCCCAGGCCAATCGCTGCCCGAGGGCGGGCTCCTCGCAGGGGTCTGGGCGGGGCCGGGCCGCGGGTTTGACAGACGGCGGCCGAGCGGATCCCAGCTTGTCTGGCCTGCCGCCCTGGGCCGCGGAGCCGGACCGGACCCGGGGCAGTGCGGAGGACACGGGCACCGTGCGGACGACCGAACGCGCCCCTGCGGCCCGGCCGGGATCCTTACACACTCGCGGTCGGGCTTTCTCCTGGGCCACCTGGGAACGCGATACCTGCTAACTAACACGGAAACGACAGAGGCGAAATTTTCTGGTTCAATCCACCCAGCTCCCTGAAGAACTCACGCGAGGTAGCAGCGAATCCAGGAGCGAACCCAGGCTTCTTGGCGCACTTTCTCACGCTTTTGCTTTTGTGGTAAGTGCTTTCCCCAGAAAAGAGTTCGTGTAGTCGAGGGGTCTCAAAGTGCCTGTACCCAGTACCCCTGCTTTGCCCCCCCCCTTCCCAAACAGCAGTGTCTCTGGAGGGCCAGAGCCACGTGCAGGAAAAAGCGCTGGGCTAGTAAGGCTTCATGGTCCCTAGACGCAATGGCTCAGATTCCCTCTCTGAGCTTCAGTCTCCTTTTGTATAAAGTAGGGGTGTTCACCCGGGCCTGGCCTTTCTCCCAGGGTTACCAAAGGATCCAGCGCCCCTTAGCCCGAAATGGGTTCTGCAGGTCGTCTAGGGCTCTGGAGTCTACACCTCCCTTGAGCACAGTGTGCTGAATTCTGGACGGCCCGGGGGTCCTGCCGCGCTTTTGGGGTCTGGTCTCTTTGGACTTGGTCTCAAACTGAAAAAAGTATCTGGAGCTCCTTCCTACCGCACCACAGGTAGCGTTCACTCCACAGGATTCTGAAAGGGTAAGACACCTGAGCAGCATTCCCAGAATTTGGGGCAACCAAGATTTTAAAAATTATAAGATTTGATGTCTTGTCACTTATTAAACACAGTATCTTACAAAGAGCAAACGGTAGGAAGGACCTTGGAGTTTTGGTTAGACCCACCCTACATCGGGAGGAGAGGATGTCCCTGGCTAGCAGCAATGTGGTGGGGTGTGGCAGACCTGGCAACAGAGTGCAGGCTTCCTGACCCCAAAGCCAGTGCTCTTCCTCCTGTGCCATGCCCACTGCCCCTGATAAATTCAGGCGTCAACCATGGTGCCTGGAACACACTGGCCAAACCCTGCTTGGGTGTCCCGGTCCCGCCTCTGTCTGGGGATTTGGAGTTGGGAACTGTTGCTACTTTTATGGCAGGAGGGGCAGAGTAGAAAGGAGCAAGAGGAACTCACTAACCCTCCATCAATGCCACCAGGTGCCCGCACCCCCACCCACATGCTCCTCTGACCTGCGGGAGCTGGCTGCCAACAGGCCACGTGGCTTTAGTCAAATTATAACCTCTTGCCTGGTCTGTCTGCCCCTCATAAAGCAAGGTTAGAGTTCTAGCCTTTCCAGTTCTATCCTTGAGTGAGACCAGAAGCTGAGTCCTTTGTCTTCCCTACCCACCACACACACACACACACACACACACACACACACACACACAGTGCTGCACATTTACTTGGGACCCTGAAAACATTTGCTGAATGAGTCACTTAAACAACTGGACCAGCAGGCAAACAGGGTCTCCAAATTTCCAAACGCAGCAAGTCATTTAGATGTTCTGTACTGTAAACCTAGCCAGGGCTGCCAACTTACTCGAGCTAGGGACACTGGGACTGTGCCTCTCCTCAGCAGGTTCACAGGGACACCCCAGCAGGAGATGGGCTTGTGAAGCCCAGCAAAGCAATGGGAAGGTTCATCTGCTCAGGACGGGGAGTTTCCCTCAGGAGATATTCAGAATATACGTCCTTGTCCTTTTTCCCAGGAGTCACAAGAAACTGTTAATAGTCATTAGGGGAACTGGGGGAAGCCTGCACTTTCCATTTTTATGCTCTTCTACACTGTTTGTATCTTCTAACAATGTACACTCTCCTCCTTCCCTTTCCACAGGAGTTAGGTGAGCACTGCAATTATGAACTACAGCTTTTCTTTATTATTTTGGGATTAAAATGAAACTCAAGAGAGGGCAGGGGGAAGGGGATAACAATGGTCAAGACTGTGATATGGATATGCACCAAGGTGAGTGCAATTATTATGTACCACAAACACGCTAACAATATTTAAATATTAAAGTAAAACTCATTCACATTTTAATTGTCAAGAACAAAGCCCACTTCTCACTTCAGTGGGCTCAGATTAACCCATGTTCTGATCTGAACCCCCTTTTGTACTGCTGTCCCATGTAGTCTGTCTGCTGGACCTCTCCACTGGGACCCACCTGCCAGCCGACAGCACTCTTTTCTTCCTTACTTTGCTCCTCGCTCCTATGTCCCTCCCTCGGTGAATGGCTCCTTGGCCGAGTTCCCCAAAGCTGAAATCTAAGACCTATCCTAGGTCAGTGGTGGCGAATCAATGGCATGAGTGCTACAGCAGGCTGTTTGTTCTCATTGAAAGCTCTAAAAGTTTTGCCATCACTGCCCTAGGCCCTCTCCCATATCTGATTTGTCATAAATCCACCTAAAACCCCTCTTCTCTCCGTCCTACGTTTCTCCCAGTTCTCACAGCATTCAACCTCCTCCTTTGCTGCCTCCTCCTAATTACCCATTGTTCACATTGGTCTCCCCATCTGCCTATGAAACATAGATCTGACTGTGGAACTGCCCTGTTTAAGGATCATTACCAGCTCCCCAAATGCTGTGTAAATAGTCAAAACATTTTCTGTCTCTGTCCTCTGCCCTGCCCTATGTTTCAAGCACCCTGGAAGAGTCTTCATCTCGCAGAACCCAGAAGGCATTTTTGTGCCTTCGCAGCAGTATAGTTGATGTTTTTCCTGCGTGAACCCTTCTTCCTCTCACCTGCCATGCATAATCCTGGCTTCAGGCTGTTTAATACCCAGCTCAAGTGTCACTTTTCCCTAAAAGCTTTCCCTGAATTCTCTTTCCTGCACTGTCTGCTGGACTTTGTCTCAGAACTTCCAGCATGGTTTTATAACTATTTAACAGTCCATCTTTGCTTCTGGATTGAACTTTGTGAAGGCAGGGGCAGCCTTTCCCCTACAAGACCTAGAAGAGATTCTCACACCAAGTGAGCAAGAGAAAGTATTTGCTGAATACCAACTAAACTATTAGAGACTGACCACTACTTCATTCTCATGCTCACGCTTGTATCTGTGTAAGACCTCCTGTGCAGTGCAGACGTGAGAAAGGAGGAGCTGTGACAGGTGGTACACTGCTCGCTCTGATTCTGTTTGTCGCAGAGAGGGAAGAGTTAACATTCACTGAGGAATCTACTCTGTTGTATGTGCTGTCTCCGACATGTGATCTCATTTAATCCTGGCAAGATCTCTGAGATAAACAGGTTACCATCCCCTTTCTAGGTGAGGAAATAAAATTTAAAAATTAAGTGATTTAAGCTGGGCATGGTGGTGCACGCCTATGATCCCAGTGCTCAGGAGGCTGAGGCAAGAGGATTGCTGTGAGTTCGAGGCCAGCCTGAACTGCATAATGAGACCCTGTCTCAAATAAAAGACGAATAAATAAATAAATAAATGATTTGGCAAAGTTCTCACATTTAAGAGTGTTTGCCTCCTGTGTATCTAAGATTGCCTAAACCACTTATGGAGCAGAGAATAATTTCTTTAACAAATGATATTGGAGTCAGGTGGGGTGGCACTGCCTGTAATCCCAGCATTCTGGGAGGCTGTGGTAGAAAGATCAAAGCTGAACCTGGGCCACTTAGTGACTTGGTGAGACCCCATCTCAAAATTGAAAATATAAAGAAGGGCTGGGGATGCAGCACGATGTGAAAGCCCTGGAGTCAGTCCTTAGAACTAGAAAAAAACGTGTATCTATGTGTGCATACTGGGACAATGAGATATCCATGTGCAAAAGAATGAAGTAGGACTCTTGTGTCACACCATACACAGAGAGTAATTCGAATGGACAACAACCTAAATACAAGAGTGAAGACCACAAAACACGTGGAAGAAAACGTAGGGGTAAAATCTCTTTAACTTTAGATTTGGCAATGGATTCTTAGATATGACATGAAAAACATGAGCAATAAAAAAAGTAGATAAAATGGACTTCATCAAAACTTAAAACTTGTCCTCATCAAAGGCCATTATTAAAGTTGTGAAAAGACAACCAAGCTAGATACAGGTGTGTGTTCCCAGCTACTCAGGAGACTAAGGCAGCAGCCTTCTTGGAGCCCAGGAGTTCAAGGCCAGCCTCAGCAAAGTGGCAAGACCCAGTCTCAGGAAAACAAAAAACAAAAAACGAATATAGAGCTGGAGAAGACATCTACAAATTATATGTCTAATAAGTGTTAGGCTGCAGAATATATGTAAGAAGCTTTTATGACTCAACAACAAAGATACAATCTGATCAAAACATGGGCAAAGGACTCTGACAAATATCTCTTCAGAAAAGATAGACAAATGGCCAAGAGGCACATGGTTTCGGTGAGCTCACAGTGGGATTTGTGTCTCTGAGAAGGAAAAGAACAGACCCTCCAAACCTCATTCACAAGCCAGAAGGCAGTGATAAGAGTGGAAGGCGGAAGCACATGTGCTGTCATCCAGCACAGTCTCCATTGGCGTCTGCAACCCCGCCTGGATGCCTCCCATGGACCTGCCGGGCTCGCTCCTTGGTGATGAACAGCCAGTTCCACACAGTGGACACAGCCCTCAACTCATTACCCAACTCATTACCCAGGTGCTGAGGGAAAAGCATTCCATGCGAACTGGACAGGAGAGGTGAGGGGTGGGAGGTGGACCCCCTCTGAAGGCCACAGAAGGCTTTCCTGGGGGCTGCTGGCTAAGCTCAGACCTAACAGGACGAGGATCTATTGGCTAGGGCTGAGGAAACGCTTTCTGGCCAGATAGAGAAGGTCGCATAGAGCGAGGGCACTGGCTAAGACTGGAAAGGGGAAGCTTTTAGGCTAGAGAAGGACTCGATCCGTTCTGTTGTGAAGTCTTACAGCTGCCATGTGGAAGATGGACTGAGAAGAAGAAGAGTGGCTGCTGGAACAATAGGCAGAAGTTCAGAAAGAGTGCTGAGGCGCCGGAACTTGGTGCCAGGAGGGTGGGGATGGGCAGAAGAGGCCGAAGGCAGCTTCACTTGGGCAGCAGGCTTGAGGTGTGGGCAACGGGATGGGAGTATGGGAGGCAAGGCTAGGTGTCCAGAAGAGCAGTTTGAGAGTCTGGAACTCCCCTGGGTGGCTCTAGGCATTCTGCGGCCTTCACAGTGGCTTCCAGAAGCAAAGATGTCACCGTGGCCAGGCCAAGTCAGGCCCCTTCCTCGAGTGTGTCACACACCACTGCCATAGAAATTTGAATTTCTTTGCAAGGAATTTATAATGCTATAAAAAGCATCTAATGCTGCTAATAAAAACGGTAAGATTTGAACAGCTTGGGACAGTATGAGTTCCTCACACAGGTGAAGGAGCTGGTTATTTCTGAGATGCACAGTATCACATCCTGTAGCAGATGTTTTCAAGTCCGGGGCTGCAGACACCATTGTACACATTCAGTGTAGACCAGAATCCTACAGAGCCACATCCCCAACCATTCTTTTATTTCTTATTTTGAGATAGAGCCTCACTAAATCACTGAGTTACCCAAGCAGAGATCCAACTTGTGATCCTCTTGCCTCAGCCTCCTGAAGTGCTGGGATTACAGGCATGCACCACCACACCCGGCTAACTGCTCACCCCTTGAAGTCAAGGACTTTATATGTGTATGAGAGACGTTGCTATGTACTAAATTGATTCAGCTATGCGTGGTGGTGCACACCTGTAATCCCAGCACTCGGGACGTGGAGGCAGGAGGAACCTTATGAGTTCAAGACCTGCCTGGACTACAAAGTGAGCTCAAGGCCAGCCTTTTGAGACCCTGTCTCAAAAAGACCCAAAAAAAAAAAGGATTCAACAGGTCCAAAAGTTGGTAAATGAGGCTGAAACAATGTATATGACTAAGGAAATGAATACAGTAATGTTCTCGGTACAAACACTTCTATTTGTGAAAAACACTTCTATTTGTGAATAATTCCGTTTACAGACAACAGAGTCCGGCAAAATTTTGCTTTCACAAAAACAGAGTTCCCAAACTCTGCACTGTCTGACAAACCCAACAATGGCCATCTTCCCCTCACAAACTCGGATGCAGCCATCTGCTCCAAAACTGTAAAACAGATTAAGTTTATAAGCCAAGACATCACTATAGTTGATTATTCATATTTTTATTAAATTTTTTCTTATAAAATAAATAGCAAGTTTATGCATACACATAAGTATTTTTATTTAATTCATAAATTTCTCTTTAGGCACATAGTAAAATCTGTATCTACATGCGGAAAGCATTCTAAAAATAGAATGCAATAATATTCATATGTAAGTTTGAAAGTAATCTTCCAATTACAAAATCAGTGTTGACTTCTTCATAGACATTTTCTTGCATAATCATTTCTTCAAAGACATTTTATCTCTTTCATAAAACCCATACTTACCTTCCTGTATGCCAAATTCAAAGACCCATGCAATGTTACAGTTGGAAATGAACTTAAAAATCAAAGAGGGGTTGAAGGGAGGGTAGGAAAATGGGAAAAAAAAGTTTATATCATGTACAGGTACAAATTCCCTATGATGAATGTGATCATTATGTATACCTAAAATGTGCCAATAAACTTGATTAATTAAAAAAAAATCATTCAGTCTAGCACCAGGTGTGGTGGCACATCCCTGTAATCCCAATACTGGGGAGGCTAAGGCAGGAAGATTACTGCAAATTCGAGGCTAGCCTGGGCTACACAGTGAATTCAACACCAGTTTGAACTATACAGGAAGATCCTGTCTCAAAACAAAACAAAACAAATCATTCAATCCAATTCTCTGACTTTGCAGTTGAAACAGATTTAGTGTATGGAATCTTAGCCAAGGTCACAAAGCTACATAGTACCAGAGGTAAGATTACAATGCTTCTCTTCCCAAAGTGAACCCTAGCAGCCTGCTGGCAGCCCACATGGATATTTACTCTTTGCTTTCTCTCCAGGGTGCATTTCCTAGGCTCCCTTGTTAGCAGATGTGGCCATGTGACTACACTGTAGCCAGTGAGGTGGAAGCAGAAGCTTATGGCCTTTCAGGAAGTCTCCTTAAAGGGAGGCTTTCCATGCTCCCCGCCTTTTTTCTTCCCCTTGCCTGGAGGGAGGCTGAGTCCCCGATGACCTCAGGATGTTACCATGGCAGCTCTGGACAGCCTAATTCTAGATCTTATTTGAGGAAAAATTAAGTTGCTGTTTACTTACGCTGCCACTTTGAGTTTTCAGCTCAGTGTAGCCAAATCTGACTAACCCACCTCACTGTCCCTTGCCCCTGTAAGTCTGCTCCTGTCTCAGCAAGGGACAGTTCCATCCCACCAGCTGCTAGGAGCAAACACCTTGGAGTCGATACTAATGACTCTCTCACACCCCACAACCCTTCCACCAGCAATTTGTCAACTCTTCCTTTAGAGTGGGCCAAATCTGCCCACTTCCCTCCCTTTCCTCCCTCTGGCCCGGCCACCACCCTCTCACAGGCCGACAGCAGCACCATCCTGAACAGCTCCCTGTGTTCATTCCTGTCAGCCATCCTTTCTTCGCTCTGTCTGTGTTCCATAGAACAGCCAGACAACCTTTAAAAGGGTAAGGTTTTAGCCCACGCTACTTCTTTCCCTCGGAACTTTTCAATGGTTGTCATCAGGAGTGAGAGCAAAGTCCTTCCCAGAGCTACTGCCTGCCCAGGCCACCTCTGACCTAACCACAGACACACACACCCCTGGGCCGGCACACCACACCCTCTTCACTACCTTGGAGCTCACCAGCTCCTGCCTGGGGCCTGTCTGCTTTGGGAACTCTGGACCACCCCCTCATACCCACACATATTCTCTCCCTTACCCCCTTCAGGCCTCTGCCTCTAAGTGGCTTATCGCAGAAATCTTCCCAACCATCCTACCTAAAATAAAACTCCACTCGGCTGTCCTCTCTGCATTTGTTCTTCAGCGTACTCACCACATGGCCTTTGCTGGTTTGTCTGGATCCATCCCCTCGGATGCTAAGTTCATTTGCTTTATTCACTGTTTGGTTCCCAGTGCCCAGAAGACGGGCACCATGTGGCAGACGCTCAATGCGTGGCTACTAAATGAATGAATGAGGACATGAATGCCAACCAAACTGGTGTCCTTTAACCAGTTCCCACAGCTTGCCTCTAATTAAAATCCGGGTGTAAGTGTCTAGTTGATAAAGCCATTTGCTCTGCGTTTAAGTACTGCTACTGGATCTACTAGCTGTCCCTGTGACTACTTTCTAAATATTTGCGGTGGACAAAAATAAGTCAGCTTCACCCTACTAGTTAAGAAAACATAAACAACAATTTGGCTTTCTATTCTAATAATTGTTATGGTTAATAGCAATTAAAAAAAAAAAAAAAAAAAAAAAAAAAACCCTTGAAATGAGAGATGGAATACCAGGCCAATTTGTAAGCCTCCAGAATCAAGTGTCTTAGCAAAATACAAAGCCTTTTCTTACTGGTCTCAGTGAAGAGGGTCAAATGGACCAGGCATTACCCAGTGAGGAACACAGCAGTCCTCTCAGATCTTTCCAGCTTTATGGAAAATCCTGGTGATTAATTTTAAAACATGAATACATAAAAGTCCACTAAAGCAGATTTATCTTTTCATCCACAAACTATTTATTTCTTTTCAAAGTTAGGAAGTTTGCAGCTGGCCTTGTAAACTGAAGTAACAAATCTTTAAGTAGACTTTATTTACTAAATAAGTCTTAAGCTCAGAACATTTCTGGAGACAATGTATCATTAATATTTGTTTCCATCTGGAGAAGGAACAAAGCCTGACAAACACCACAGTTCCCCTGCTCAAAGAAGACCAAGAGGCAGCCTAGCTTCTTCCAGCAGATGGGGGCTGAACCTTGCAAGGGGAAAAATCATCAAGCTCCTTCTGAGGTTTTGCTTACAAAAATACACACTCCCCTCATACATTCCTGATGGTTGCTGTTCCAAGCTGCTGAAATACTTTAAGGGAAAAAAAAATACATCTCCCAAGACAGTGAAGACCTTGCTTTTGAATACAGATCTCCCTACATAGGATGCATCTCCATTAACTGTGTCTGTAAGTAAACGATTTACTTCTTGTCTCAGGTCCTTCTGAGGTAAACTTCAGACAGCTCTGGAAGACAGTTACCACGATGTCACATGTAGCGTGTGCAACCCTACACAGGCTCCCACACAGTAAGTACTCAACGGATGGTAGCTGATAAGACTCCATGAGCAACTATCTAGTCTACTCAAAGCACTGGCACTTTTTAATGTAAGATACACAAATAAATCATTTGGTAGAGTACTTGGAGAACACAGAAAAGTATGGATTTAAAAATCTCCCACAGTACTGTGCATAAAACCTTCCACAAACGAAAGAGATGCTCTGGACTAGACACAACTGTTCCTCTGACAACTTCAAAATAGTGACCTCTGCTGGCCAGTGAAAAACATGAGCCTTCCAATCAACTTCCATGATTGAGCAAGGGTTGAGTCCTCCAGGGCTGGATCCCTATCTCTGGAACAAAAACCAGGTACTGCACTACAAGGGGCAGAAATCGTCACAAGGGTTACCACGATGTAATAGGGATGTTAACAGAATAAAAGGCTGGCCTTTGCATTTGCTCATCCACCCAGAAGATTCTTTTTTCAAACTCAGTGGTCTCCTATTTTTAAAATGCCGTAATTGCATGCAAATGTTATAGCAGAAAAACAACGCAAGGGGCATTAAAAATCAATCTTCCATGTAAGCCTCAGATTTTCCAGCATGAAGATCCAAAAGCAGAAGTGGTGACAAATGTGTAGAAGACACAGTGAAAGAGTCAGAATGCATCATTAAGAATGTTACAACAAAGGGGGTGGGGATCACTGGGAGCATAGGTCTGATTCAGCTGGGAGGAATAACTAACTACAAAAAAGGCTTTTTTTAAAAAACCCTGCAAACTTCTTATAGATAAGACCCAGAGAACCAATTAGGAAGCAGCCTGGACCCTTTTATTCAGGAAAGTAAAAAGCTTAATGGAAGAGGCTGCTCCAGAGTCTGCTGGCTGGGATCTTCAGCTATAAAACACATTCCCACCTCTGAAGGTGTGAAATAAAAAAGGGGCTGTAAACTGGCAGTCACGGGGCTGTGTAGTTTGGTTTGGCACTCGATGTATTTTTAAAAAATTAATTAGTTGCTAACATTTTAAAAGTGGAGATTTCATATCAAAATCCAGTTTCTACTTCATAAGCAAACAGGAAGATCTGGCCATCCTGGGCCTGCACTCTCAGGAGCAGCAGGCAGCCAGCGACATGACCACAGGGTCCCTCCCCTGCTGCAGCGCCCCCAACACACACCACTGACCTCCCTTATCCCCTGGCCACAGCCCCTTCCTCTGTGAATGTCTGAGTCTGAGACCCAGGGTTAGGAACAGCCCTAAGACAGTAATGATGAGCTTGATTCAGTCTACACCCACCAATATGAGCGATGTACAAAGTACTTTACTAGGCACTACGGATCTAAGGAGTAAGACACGATATCTGAACCCAAGGAACTCATGGGCCTCCAAAAGATGAAACTAAATTGTCATCATCATAGATCACAACCTAAAAAAGTATAGAAGTGTCTGAAGTGATTAAATTCATTTTCTAATTTTTATTAGCTCACCCATGCCCAGCCTTCTTTTCTAATATATGCAAGTAAGGTACAGATTTCCCTCTAAGAATGCCTTCAGCTCTATCTCCTCAGCGTCTATATCTTTCTATATCTACCTATGATTTCCTCCATGACCTGTGGATGACTTGTGTTATTTCTTAATTTCAAAACATCCAGTGATCAAATTACCATTTTTAATTCATTTCTACCTTAATAGTCTTATGGACAAACATACTTTAAATTATTTCAATCCTTTGAAATTTGTTGAGACTTGCTTTATGCAATGGCATATAGGCAGATTCGTAAACATTCAACATGAGCTTGAAAAGAATGAAGTGCCCAGCAGATCAGGTTTGCTGCTTACACCATTCAAATATGCTTTTTCTACTGATTCTTGTGTATTTAAGGCAATGTACATGAAAGTACACAAATCTCATACAGCTGGTTCAATAGTTCTACATGAATACACCCACATAATCTAAATCAAGAGACATTTCCTCAGAAGCACTTCTCATGCCCTCCCAAGAAAACATTCTATCTCCTTCCCCAGGACCACTGTTCTTTTATTGTTTTCTTTGTGAAATAAGTGCAATCACTGTATATACATATTACTTTGGATCTGGTTTCTTTGCTTAATATCATGAGTTTCTTTCCCGTTACTACACATAGCAATCGTTCACTCTTCTGACTGCAATGTAATACTGCATTGTGAGGGTAAGCATAATCTACTTACCCATTCTGTTCACTGACACTTGAATTGTTTCCTATCTTCAACTACTGTAAAAAAATCTACCACAAGAGATGTTGTAAACATGACTTCTGGAGAGTATATAGCCTTTGCTATTGGGTATATACTAGTTAGTGGAACAGACAGAACCTAGGGTAGATACGTTTTCTTATGCCTTCCAGCAATTATATAAGTTAAATTCTCCACATCTTGATCACTTGTTAAGCCATTTTAATCTTTTGCCCCTCATACCTAACAGTATTTCACTGTACTTTAAATGTGTATCTCCCTCGCAACTAATGGTTTTGAATGCCTACTTCCCTTAAAAGCCATTTGGATAAACTCTCTGAAGTGCGCACTCCTCTTTTGTCCACACTGCTGTACTTTTTGTACTTTGATGCTGTTTTTAGGTGCATGAATATTTAGAACTGTATCTTCTGCATAAACTCAAACTTTTATTACTCTGAAGGGCCTTTAGTAACATGTTCTGCCTTACAGTATACTTTGTCCAAGGCACATGACGATACCAGATTTATACATGATTGTATGTTTTTCCATGTATCTATCACTATGTTTTAGATGTCTCACATTAATAACAAAGTTAAATTTTTAAATTCAGTTTATCTTTGCTTTTTCATTGTAACATTTAGCCTGTTATGTAATTACTAATGTGTTTGTCTTAAAATGTTTTACTATGTGCCTTCTATGGGTCCAAACCAATTTATATTTTTTCTCACTCCTGGTTATTTTCTTTTGCTTTATTTTTGGTTATTCCACTTCTTTCCATGTCTGAGCTTAGAACTTTTATTACTATAGTGGCTATACAATTTATATTGTAAGCCTATTATTGGTACTTTTACTCTCCCCAACAATATAAAGACTTCACCTTTTAACTCCTAAATACTGACGTAGCTACTGCTGCGATGTGCACTCTAATTCTCTGTATTTAAGGCCCCAAAAGTCCCTGTTTTTTACGTCAGTACTCATACTTACCATTATCCCAGTTTCTTCCTGCTTCTCTGACCATCCTTCTTTCTTCTCCCTAAAAAATCTGCCTTATAAAGTATATATTTTCATAGTATTAACTAACAAATTATCAGCTTTTGCTGGCCTGAAAATGTCTTCAGTTACCCCACCATTTTTGAAGATTAAAGCTGGAGGTAGAATTTTAGGTCAGTAGATTCATTTCAGAATTTTTTTTTCTGGTCTAAATTTTTTTTTTTTTTTTTTTTTTTTTTTTTTTTTCAAATTTTATATACACTTTAAAAATAAACTTATAAATTGTACATGCAGTTTCTAATGAATTAAAATCTCTTGTAATCTTATTGAACACGGTATTCATAATTATCTTACTGTTTGGTAACTAATATTTGGAACCTCTATAGTCCATTCTCTGTTGCTTTTGTTGGTTCTCACTCGTGTTGTGTTCTCTAGTGTCTGGTTATTTTTAAGTGTGTTCAGACAGTGTATTTGCGAACTTGTTTGTAGCTATAACTGAGGTCTCAGGTGTTGTCTGGCCCCCAGAAGATTTCTGACAGCTTCTGCTAGGACCCAGAGATCATCTAATTTAATGAGGATTCTAACTCAACTACAGTATTTGCAATCTTCCTTGTCAACATGTCTTCCAGGGCAGTGGTACGGAACCTACGGCACGCATGGTACTTGTTTTTAAGAGAAAAGATGTTGGTGTATGAGTTGTTTTTTTTCTAAATGAAAACCTCAGTATTCAGGTTTACTTGCAGTGTTGGCGCTTTGCAATGAGTGGGTTCTAGGCTGCACTTTGAGCATTTATCTCTAAAAGGTTCGCCATCATTGCTCTAGAGTACAGCACTTTGGGATCCCCACCTGAAGGAAAATTTACCAATTCATCTTTGAAGGCCTTGAACCCAAATTCTGCTCTTATCTTGGGATACTCAGGGTACTACCCACATTCTCCACATCATTCTCATCCACATAGGTGGTTCTCAAAAGCCATGTTGGCACTGCATGACCTTGTCCCTCAAGCCTATCTAGACCTTGGATACTTGATCCATCAGGGTTCATGCCTTTCAATCAGGAATGAGGTTGGCAGGTAGAAACGCATCATCAGTCTCTATTACAAGTGAACGCAGGCGCTAGTGGTAGAAAACCATTGGCAAGGAGAAAGAATTAAAGCACTGATAAAGAGAAACTCAAAACCTTTTAAAGAACCTGGGAGCTTTCAGGTTCTTCATGGGGCCTAAAAGCCAATCTAAGGCTGAGTGTAGTGGCGAACGCTCAGGATGAATCCCAGCACTCAGGAGGATGAGGCAGGAAGATCACTGCGAGTCTGAGGCCAGCCTGGATTACATAAGCGAGTTCAAGGCCAGCCTGCACCATACAGTGAGACTGAGTCCAAAAAAAGAAAAGTCAATCTACTTGGGCTTACAAGACTTTCCTGTGCCCTTAGGATCAACTCTCCTTTATATGTTTATGCTAATAAAAGGTAGAGATTCTGTCCGTTCAACTAAGAGTCTTCGCAAACGAAGAGATCTGTCAACTATTACTAATGGATTGAGATACTAAAAGGTATTACTGAGGACTGTTACTAATGGACTGAGAGCTCAAAGGATAAGCCAATCAGGAGTCAGCACAGCTTCAAAAAATATCAATATAAAGACCTGTGGTTTAGAAGTCATCTTCTACTGTTTCTCTGCAGTGACAGCCCACTGGATTTCAGGGTTATCTGCAACACATGATCAAGAGTATCTGGAAAGCTACACATATACAGGGAGAAAATGAGCCCTTGGGAGCAAGGTGAAACCCCACCGCACTGCAAAATAAGGCAGGTGACAAAGTGGGCTACCACCA